TTTCTCATGTCCAGCGGAGAAAGTCCCCAATGACTTTACACTGGATCGCAGAGGGCAGCAACACTGGTTCTTTGAAGCTTCGTTGACATCGACACACACCCACCCTTGAGGAGGTGCAGCTAAATTCAAAATGACGACTCGGAGCCCAGGCCCAGCCCTCACTCTCCCTCACTTGGCCGCTACCCTGGCTCACTGCTTAGTCTCTGTGAGTCACCGCCAGGGATCCTGCTGGGAATTACTGATGAGAGATCCCGAGTGTCTCAGAAGTGCCCGCCGTCGTTACTGAGACGGGCCCAGGCCCTGCTTGGTTCTGGGAAATCTTACCAAGACCTGAAGGGATAATTATACTCCGGCCCTCACACCAAGTGACCACCGGTGACAAGATGTCTGTGTGTTTGCGTGTGTGATGAGGGCAGGGCGGGTGGAGGAGTCCGTAGAAGGGCAACGCCAGGTTTCTCTGTGCTGGAAACACAAAACTCTTTCAAAAAGCTCCAACAGTAACAAGGTTTTGCGCTCTGAAGCTTTGGTGAATCTTGGGTGTGAGTCCTAGACCTGCTTTCTGGTTGTGGAAACTTGGAGACTTACTCTCCACATCTGTGGAAGGGGCGGTGTTGGGACCGACCTCAGTAAAGCTCAAGCTTCATGGAAATAGGAGTCATCACAGTAGCCTACTCCCTGGGGTTGCCGTGGGAATAACACACACACAGCAATGTGCTCTGTCAGTGTCACTCCATAGCGTCACTGCATCGCAGGCCCGGGTTTTTGCAAACTCCATACAAGAGAAACAACTTAGATGTGTCAAGTACTATTTCTTGTGTTCAACTTATTGTTGCAATTTTGACTCTGGAAACCGTATCCTATATAATAAAGAGGTAATATGCTCATTTGTCCGTTACAGTGTCCGAGTCATGACCAGTCAACGGGTTGCACACTCACAGGAGGTGGGGACTTCCGCCCCCAGCGGAGGCTCGCCCAGGCCTGCCCTGCACTAAGGTCCCGCCCAGTGCTGAGGTGACGCTGTCTGCCCGCATCCCTGGCCAGGGACGTGACCCTGCCTGCCTGTGTCCCTGACCTGGGATGTGACGCTGCCTGCCCGTGTCCCTGACCTGGGATGTGATGCTGTCTGCCTGTGTCCCGGACCTGGGACATGGCGCTGTCTGCCTGTGTCCCTGACCTGGGATGTGATGCTGCCTGCTTGTGTCCCTGACCAGGGACATGGCACTGCCTGCCTGTGTATCTGACCTGGGACATGGCGCTGCCTGCCTGTGTCCCTGACCTGGGATGTGACGCTGCCTGCCCGTGTCCCTGACCTGGGATGTGATGCTGTCTGCCTGTGTCCCGGACCTGGGACATGGCGCTGTCTGCCTGTGTCCCTGACCAGGGACATGGCGCTGTCTGCCTGTGTCCCTGACCAGGGATGTGATACTGTCTGCCTGTGTCCCTGACCTGGGATGTGATGCTGTCTGCTGTGTCCCTGACCTGGGATGTGATGCTGTCTGCCTGTGTCCCTGACCAGGGACATGGCGCTGCCTGCCTGTGTCCCTGACCAGGGACATGGCGCTGCCTGCCTGTGTCCCTGACCAGGGACATGGCGCTATCTGCCTGTGTCCCTGACCTGGGATGTGATGCTGTCTGCCTGTGTCCCTGACCTGGGATGTGATGCTGTCTGCCTGTGTCCCTGACCTGGGATGTGATGCTGTCTGCCTGTGTCCCAGACCTGGGATGTGATGCTGTCTGCCTGTGTCCCTGACCAGGGACATGGCGCTGTCTACCTGTGTACCCTGACCTGGGACATGGCGCTGTCTGCCTGTGTCCCTGATCATGGGACATGGCGCTGCCTGCCTGTGTCCCAGACCTGGGACGTGATGCTGTCTGCCTGTGTCCCTGACCTGGGACATGGCGCTGTCTGCCTGTGTCCCGGACCTGGGATGTGACGCTGTCTGCCTGTGTCCCGGACCTGGGATGTGACGCTGTCTGCCTGTGTCCCTGACCTGGTATGTGATGCTGTCTGCCTGTGTCCCTGACCTGGGACATGGCGCTGCCTGCCTGTGTCCCTGACCTGGGATGTGACGCTGTCTGCCTGTGTCCCTGACCTGGTATGTGATGCTGCCTGCCTGTGTCCCTGACCTGGTATGTGATGCTGTCTGCCTGTGTCCCTGACCTGGGACATGGCGCTGTCTGCCTGTGTCTCTGACCAGGGACATGGCGCTGTCTGCCTGTGTCCCTGACCTGGAACATGGCGCTGTCTGCCTGTGTCCCTGACCTGGGACATGGCGCTGTCTGCCTGTGTCCCTGACCTGGGATGTGACGCTGTCTGCCTGTGTCCCTGACCTGGTATGTGATGCTGTCTGCCTGTGTCCCTGACCAGGGACATGGCGCTGTCTGCCTGTGTCCCGGACCTGGGATGTGATGCTGCCTGCCTGTGTCCCTGACCAGGGACATCGCACTGTCTGCCTGTGTCTCTGACCAGGGACATGGCGCTGCCTGCCTGTGTCCCTGACCGGGGATGTGATGCTGCCTGTCTGTGTCCCTGACCTGGGACATGGCGCTGTCTGCCTGTGTCCCTGACCAGGGACATGGCGCTGCCTGCCTGTGTCCCAGACCTGGGACATGGCGCTGCCTGCCTGTGTCCCTGACCTGGAACATGGCGCTGCCTGTCTGTGTCCCTGACCTGGGACATGGCGCTGTCTGCCTGTGTCCCTGACCAGGGACATGGCGCTGCCTGCCTGTGTCCCAGACCTGGGACGTGATGCTGTCTGCCTGTGTCCCTGACCTGGAACA